TGTAGGTACCAGATTTGCTCGGGTGGTCAGATCTGCACGTTAGTGACGTTACGCTACATGATCGGCTGAACATTGCCACATGATCTAAAACATTGTGGTTGGTTTCTACAAGTAGAATAACTGTTTTCTTTGTCTAAATTCTCTACGAAAGTCATTTTAGGATGTCCCATTTGTCCTTCCTGTTCTCAGATCTAAATATAAAGAATAAAAATAAACTGAGCCTTTTTTGTCACCTTGTTAAAAGGCAGAGCTCAGTCTTAGAACTCAGTACTTTCCTTTAGGACCGACAAGGATTGTTTTCTACTTTCAACTACTTTAGATCGCCAATGAAATAGCAAAATATAGATGATAATATGTTGAGACTGGAAAAGAGATTTGATCCTTAAGAAACGGGTTCAATACAGTTTGTCCGGGTGGAGTTGCCATATGCTGACGTCATTTGAAGGGACAGGAACCCGAGCAGATCTGGTAGCTACATCGGATCCGTCCCAGAAGCGCGGTCCGGCCTGTGAATGCGCCATCGGCTCATTTGCGCATCCAGCTATACATCCAGGGATCTCCCTGGATTTTATTTAGTTAAAAAGACTGAAATGTTTTCCACTCCCCCCAAATAGTAAACGTACTAAAATATAGTATATAGTGATATAGTATAGGTTAATAATGTATTTTCTGAGAAAATAAATGTCTTAAAATCCGACACAGCTCACTTTTTCGACTTTGGAATTAAATATAAATCTAGTCTTTTTTTAGTTTTATGTTTTTCCTTTGGTGTTAACATTACGGTATATAGTGAGTTATCTAAAGAAAGAAACAGCTATGATGTCGTTAGAGAAGCAGTTTAACAAAGAAACTGTAAAAAAGATCTAATTTGTCTCACAAAAGTCATTAAACTTTTTTTGAAGATGTGTATTAGCATTCTTTAGAGAGTTAAGGATAGAAATAAGGGATTTTAGTACCATAATTACATAATTACAGGTACACCAGTTGTGGTTTTCTCTTTATCAAGACCACAATATAGTTAAGAACATTAAACTATACATCCCCCACCATAATACTAATGGTGGGCCATTTTCCCCAGAGATCATCCAGAGCGATTAACTGTTTACTGACAGCTTGGAATAAGAATATAAAGGAACAGGAGGGGGAAGTTTTACAGGCATCATTCTGCCAGGCTCAAGCTCTGATGTAAATAAATATGTGTGTGTGCATGGCGGCGGTGGAGGTTTAATAAAGTGGACGTGGAACACAGCGAACGTCCTTCGCTGGTGTTTACGGGGAGATTCAGATCCCAGAGCAGAGGCTGCCTGTGTCCCTGTCTATGAACAAACCCCATATGGCGCCTTTTTGTCCCCGTCTCCGTGTGCGATCTGACCTACTGTGCTGAAACAGATTAACCTCACTAACATTGAAGCCAGACGTATTTTATTCTCCGCTGGGAGAACGCCTCTTCAATCTCAAGCAGAATCCAACTCCCCCTTAAATCTGGCATCTTCAATTCATCAGATAACCAGAATATTTTCTCCAGATTATCTATTTAAACTGTTTCTAAATGTCTTAATTTTCCTCTTCTGTTTCTGTAGTTATTCTTTAGTTCTCTTTTGCGTACATAGACGTATAGAGGCATATCAGTATAATATAACTTCATTTTTACCTTTAAGGTATACATTTAAATGTAATATTTACATTTAAGATTTATTTAATAGATATAAGATCTAGATATAAAATATGGATTCAAAAATATCATAGTGGTATAAAGATATAGGATGTGGATTAGATTAATGGTATAAATTTCTATTTGTATTTAGCATCTGTCACTAAATGTCAGAGAAAAAAATCTTTTTTTTGTTTCTAGCAAGTTTTAAGAAGTTTTTCCTTTGGAAAAGATAGAAAATGTGCACTCTAATCATATTCTCAGATGACGATTCCTTCACAATATTTGCACTAGAAATATTTCATTGCTCACTTCCTCGTTTAGATCTCAGTTAAAACCAAGTAAACAATCAGAGTTTCTCCAAACAGCCGTACTGCTGAGCAGGGAGGCTTCATGGAGTAATTAAGGGCCCTGTCAAACCATGACGATATAGTCAGCGTATGCCTGACGTCCCAGAATCTCCTAAAACGCTGGTATACACTGAACTTTCTATGTATTTAATGCATAAACCAACTTATGCATAATGCACGGTAGCGACAGTGGAGAGGAAAAACTCCCTTTTAACAGGAAGAAACCTCCTGCAGAACTGAAATGACAGGAACACCCGACAGCAGTGGAGGAGGAGTTGAGTGACGGAGCAAAAAGCAGTGATTATCTGTCAGAACGGTCAGTTAACTGAGTTACTTTATAGTCTACTATATAGTCCCTGCTGTATGTGGACACAGTAAGCTTGTATGAGCTATGAGAACAAAACATTTTAAAGAGGGCGTGCCCGAGGAGAAATGTGCATTGTGCATCCTCTTGCACACGTACTGTTTTTTTAAGTTTTAATGAAGAGAGTCCTTTAAAAGTCCTCCACAATACCTTTAATACATCAATAATCTCAGTGTTATAATCTTAAAATTAAAGATTAATGCTGATTTTGTTCAGATATGCACAGATGGTTAAAAGCACCTGCAGGCCTTGAACATGAGAAAGTTCACTGCGTTTATACAGACATCAGATAAATGTAGTTTTTAACAGAGGACTCACTCACAATGCTTTTTTTCACACAAAACCCCTACGAACCCATTCCCCTGTGCCAGAATCCATTTTCTGCTAGACTAAGCGATGTGTTCAGGTGTCTGTTTTTCTGTCTCATTGCATTTGTTTTGTGTGCATGTAGGTCAGATCGCTGTCTGAAAGTAAAAGCTGTTGTCTGGCCTTTCTAAGCCCTTAATGGACTCAAAAACGGGGACTGTTCACTTGTCTCTTCTGGGAGATTTTGAGCATATGAGTGACCTGAACGCGTTGGAGCAGTCGCTCTAAATTAGTTCGGCTTCCATATGGCGGCCTTTGAGATTTGGGGTTCACTTGCTTTGCAGATGCCTTCAGAGGACGTTATTGTCACATCTCCTTGTTCTCTAACTGCATCCAACAAGACATTGTATATAATCACACGTATATTAAAATGTGGATTGGTGGAGCAGTGTGTGAAGCTGAGTAGCGTATAAGGCAGAAGCACAGACGAAAGCACAGTGGTTTCGTCCTTGTCGTGTCTGAAAGTCCGGCGCCCTGGCAGGGAGCGGCCACCGTCTGTCCTTTCTCCTGCGACAAAAGATGGAGTGAATATTCTTTCAGGGTCAACAGCAGAAACCAGAACTTTTTATACATCATTTATATGATAGGAATGGGGTTTTTTGTTCCTTTTTCCAAAAGTTAAAAGTTTGGTTTTCAGCTAATAATATGTTTCTTTATTTGGTTAATCTTAACATCTCAAGATACAGTAAAGGCATTTTAGGTTTTATTTGTATGGCACCATACAGTACAAAGACTATTACTTGAATTTTACATTTAAATAGAATGAAAATAAAAGCAAATAAAGATAAAATCTGATATATTCTGCGTCCTCTTCCACAACATCTTCATCCCCGCTTTCCTCCTCTAAATAAAAAATGTATGATGGAGGAGACTCATCCACGACCTCTCTTCCTATTGCATATTTCCTCTGTCCATAGCGTTCCTTGACAGTGTCGTTTCTAAGTCACAAATTTAGTGCTACTCTGTCCCAATGGAATTTCCCATTGGGAATCTACTAGCACTAAGTTGCTAACTCGTTAGCAAGATGCTTCTGACAAACTGGCCACAACCAAACTTGCTTGCAAACCTTCAGCCACAACAATCCCGCCTCTTGATAAACGACCAATCACATTCACTTTATTTACTCGGGAGAATTCAGAACTACATCGGATGGAACAGCCGCTTCCCTATGACTTTAAACTTATAATAATAATTTAACTTTATTGATCTCACATCGGAGAAATTTACCTCTGCATTTAACCCATCCCCTTTGGGAGCAGTGGGCTGCCATTGCGCAGCGCCCGGGGAGCAGTCTGAGGTTAAGGGTCTTGCTCAGAACACTCTTGAACTTCCGTAAAAATTCGAAAAAAATATCCACTGGACTTGGTTTCCGAAATTTGAAGACGTTTCGCCACCTCTCTAGGAAGCTTTCTCAGTTCAAATGTCTGGATTCGCAGGGAGTTTGAGTCTTATATAGACAAAGCCTTGTACCGCAGTACACCTACACCTTTTGGACAAAGGACATTCTTTTGAGGACCAGAATGTTCACATTCTAGATAAAGAAAATAGGTGGTTTGAGAGGGGCGTGAAGGAAGCCATCTATGTTAAGAGAGAAAAAAACAACTTTAAACAGAGGGTGGTGGACTCAGATTCCAGCTTTCAAAAACATACAATTCAATCATAGACATGATCCCTTCCAGATATCACCAAACCCCCCACCCCATCACAGAGGAACGAAGGACCTACCCGCTCCAGCCGGTGAACATTACCTCTTTAACGACCGACTCTTAACAATCATAGACAGGTTTCAGGTATTACAGGAGACAATCCCCCCCTTAACGGCAATCCCCCCCCCCTTTAACGACCGACCCTCAGAATCATAGACAGGTTTCAGATATTACAGGCTAACGATGGAACCAAACGACCCATTCATCGGTTAACATTTGCATGTTTCCAAGCAATACAAGGCTTTGTCAATGTAAGACTCAAACTCACTGCGGATCCAGACATTTGAATTGAGAAAGCTTCCTAGAGAGGTGGCGAAACGTCTTCAAATCTTGGAAACCAAGTCCAGTGGATAATTTTTCAATTTTTACGGAATGACTATGACCTGGATGACTGAGAACCTTTATCAGCATAATACTCTTGAACACAGAGTGGAGGCTGTGGAGATCAAACCAGATACTTGTAACCTTCTCAGAGCACAAGTGCACTGCTTTAACCACTCGACCAACATTCCCACCAAACTGTGTGCTGATTGTCTATTTTATATGTACACGTCTCTCTTCAGGCCCTGGCAGAGGGACAGACGGCGCCTTGGGAGACAGCCAAGAAGGACGAGAATCGCAACAAGAACCGATATGGCAACATCATCGCATGTGAGTACTGCGGCGACTATACTGAATGCATGTGCTGAGAGGGTCTGTTATCAGGGTGCTGGTTGGTTTATCCAGGTTTCTGTATATCCGCTGGTAATTTGGTGTTATTATTTCTATATAGAGTCAGTCAAATGAACTGTCTGTCTTGACTGTTTCGGTTGATGTCTGTATTCTTTATTTTTTCACATTTCTCTATATGTGTAACTGGTTGCTATGAGGACCTGAACTTTCAGCCAGACACAGTAGTTTGACTTTTATAGGACAGAGTTATTTCTATATGCCAGTAGCTCCTTCTGGTTTCCTACAAAGTGATTCTGAAAAAATGTCCATGGCCTACTGGCGTATTAATTGGAATTTGTTTATTCTATAGTTTGTTTTTGCTCAGTCTTGTCAGGGAATAAATCCCTTTGTTTATATTTACTATAAAAAAGGAGGTACAATGCTGAGCATGTGTGCAGGGCTTGGCATTGGGTAGCCTACTAAGCTAGTTAGCGCCTCCAGTCTAAAAAGAAAGACTGGAACAGAGCTGGTATCCAGTCTGATCGTTGGTTTACACTGAACAGCTAAAGCTGCCAGCTTTCAGATGCAGCTGCTAAGCTAATGGATTCTGAGGAAATATCCTGATTAATACTGATACCAGTGACTGTGGGCAGCACAGCTGATGGAGTTACAGGAACAGACCAGATTAATCTACTATAATCTACTATAATCATTACAGCAAAGAGAGAGAGTAAGGCTAAAGGTTTAAATAACAAATACAATGTGTTCCCTATGTCCTCCAGCGGCATATATTTATAGCAGCATACATGTAGAAAATAGCTCAGGAAAACCAACAACTTTGGATGAAATATGGGGGAAGTTGAGAGAATCGTCTGTTTGGATTAAATTCTCCACTGCAGGAACTTGAAATAAACACTCTGACGTTTTTATTATAATTTGTTGGATAAACTGGTTACCAAAAACATATCTTAAATGATGCAAATACTTCTTTTTTTATTTTTGTTTTAATTTTTGTAGACGCAAGAGAGAACGAAAGTTCTCTCTTGCGAATTTTCTGGCTTTGCTGCCTACCATGTATTTTAATATAGTCTTAAAAACCACTGAGACCCGGACTTTGAACATTTATAGAAGCTAATATCGGAAACCTTGTAAGAAATCTCTTTCACTTTGCAAAGACATTTTCTTTCATCCTGCCTGATGATCAAAGGCTGCAGCTCTTTTTTTTTATACTCAGAGACTTTTGTCAAATTGAGCCTTCGGACTGCAGTAATGGTATTCAGAGTGAGGGATTAGTGTGTGTGGGGTTGATGGTGTGAATTAGCATTTGAATATAACGGTGTGTAATGCGTCGCTGTCGTTTGCCGTGCCTGTGATGGAAGGCCCAGCGGTCAGGTGCTTTTTATCCCGATTAAGGCTTCCTTATTGTCTCTATTAGGCTGGAACAACAAAAGCAGATTGTCTGATATGGCGTCTAAAGGGTTCTAAGGTTAATTTAGTTGCTCATATGACCGAAATGCACAAATAGGACCAGCATGATCCGTATAAATAACGTTTTAGGCTTCATATTTCATGGTCGGTGCAAAGGCTGGGACTGTGTACATATTTCATGGTGAAGGTTTAGATGTCACAACGAAGACGCTGCACTAACCTGAAGGCTTTAATATGAAACTCAGCACTGGAATGAAATAGCCTGTCAAAGACTTGATAGCCAACAGGAATTATGATAAATTTGCTATTAGTACAAATCCTTTAATTACAAGGGCCTGGTAATGGAACTGTCCATCTTGCTCGCTGTGATTGTACAAAGGCTAATTTTCTTGAGAAAATGTTTTAAAAGGCCCTTGGGGAAACGACTCTGTGCCTCGTCTTTATTAGAACATGGAAATCTGGTGAAACAGCCAGAGTGACTGTCTCAAGCTGAAACTGCCGGTACAAATGAAGGCTCACTCGCTGGAATTAGGCTGCTGTGAAATGAACAGTCTGACAATTCAATAGAAAATATAGAAAAGATCTGGTTTCAAAAGGTGAGCGTTCTCTGTTTGACTCCAAGTTTAAATTAACCAAAGAAAGGATAACTTGTGGGTTTTTAACACAAAGCTTTGTCTGGAGCTATGAATGATTTTTTCTTACTGAGTGATAAGCATATGAGTGAGATATTTAAGAGTGTCAGCTGAGCTGCTGCAATCGACGCCTTTGTCTATAGATGTTCGAGATCTGTCTGTTTTTCAGTGTAGTCCTGTTTCTCTGACTGTGACTGGCTGGATGTGCTCTCTTCATCCTCTGACATTGGAGCTGGCTCAGAGCTTGTCCGCTTGGCTGTGTGTTTCCTGGACGGGCCCGCCTTATACAGCTGCTTTTTCTATGTCTGCTTCTGTCTCCTTGAACCCCAGTCGGCCTCAGCAGATGGCCGCTCACACTGAGCCTGGTTCTGCTGGAGGTTTCTTCCTGTTCAAAGGGAGTTTTTCCTCTCCACTGTCGCTACAAGCATGCTTAGTGTGAGGGATTGCCTTTGCGTGAATGAGTCAATGCAATCAACTGGTTTTCATGAGATAGAAAATTCAATTTCAATTCAATTCAGTTTATTTCTATGGCGCCAATTCACAACACGTCATCCAGTCAAATTGATTTTTCTATCTAAAACTTTGAATCAGTTTAACTGTATGATCTCGTGGGTCTGTTTTATGTGTTGTCTTCTGAATTCAGAGGGCCCCCTTTCTGTCTTTGCCAAGGGCCCTAGATTTTCTAAATCCGCCCCTGCTCAAGGGGATGGGTTAAATGCAGAGAGTGAATTTCTTTGCTCTGTACTTCTGACAATGTAATGACAATAAAAGCTGGGGGGAAAAAAGTATTCCATATCCCTAAAGGATTTCGTCAATGACTGTGAAACCCTTCTGCGACCCTCCAGTTGTCTGTCTGACAACCCAATGGAGGGTCCTGACCCCCACTTTGGGAACCCCTGAGCTCCATAATGTCTGTGCTATGGGACAGGAAGAAGATGCTGGATAACGTTGGGTTCTGATTCATCTCGAGCAGATTTGGTCTACATGTGGTCTGAGCAAAAGCTCGCTGACTCTGAGCCAGAAGTTTAGCCGGGCCGGCTCGGTGAGATGATAAACACCCAGACTGTGTGCCTCCCTTGTTTGGACGGCCTGTTCTATCCTTGTGAGGGTTTTTCTCATCCCGCCGTCCTCTCCAACACACGCTAATGCTGGCTCTCCCTGGAACAGTTTGGAAAGGGCCGATTCGAGTTGAAGTGTTGTAACACTCGTCCTCCGGCCATCTGCCAAACACAAACGCTTGATGCCATGTTTGAGATCCCCTCAGCACTCTGAGTAAACCTTAATCTACCAGCCTCCTGTCCTCCACCAGTCTCTCCTCTCGTTTCTTCTCTTCTTTCTACATCAGTTCTTCTCATCTTTTGTTGGTAGTTCCCCCTCTTTCCGTCCATCTGTTCACGCTCTCATTGGCTCTGACAGTTTATGGGTTGAGGCGAAGCTCACTAGTGTTTCCTCATCTCAGGCATCTGTCTGCCTCCATTTCCTCCTTCTGCTCCTCCTTTCGCTCCTTTTTTCTCACTTCTTTTCCTGCTCTGCTCTCATTTCTTAGAGCAGCCATTCCCATATGTTCATTCATAATTCAACAGAATTTCTTTGGAAATTATAATGATTTCTTTGCTCAATATTTACATGTATGTAAAAAAAGAAAAAAAAAATTTGAGATGAGTGCTGCTTCTTGAGTGTTTTTACTTGCATCAAGTTTGAGTTTAAGAACATCAGTAGACAAATATTTGACTGGGAACAAAAAATATGTCTGTTTGATGTTATGTAATTGAATGCTGTCTGACATTATGTTATTTAATCCCATAACTTTCCGGCTGTCATATGCTGTTCTTTTAACACGCCCAACTGGCTACATGTCACGATAACAAATGAAAATCTGAATTGCGCTCGAATCATGATCAGACTCTTAAATCTGCACAAATATGGAATAAATTCAACATAACTTCGTAAGTTATTTGCAAATATCAGGTCAAACATGTTTAATCTAAAAAAATTTTTGACTAAACCTGTTAAAATCAGCTAAAATTATGATTGAAATGGATTTAAAGGATTGAAAACCATAATTAATGAAATGTTGCAATGACATCACAGTTCAATATGGATTTTATGTTGGAGAATAAAAGCTTATCTCTGAGTTTAAAAAGAGGCCAGATTAGCTTTTGAATTAAAGTGTGTGTTTAAACAACACTTCTGTCAAATTTTAGCGATCAGATTTAATCAGCAGATCAGGAAACACATAAGCAGTAAACTCATAAGATCATAAACTTAAACCACGTAAATTGTTTTGTAGGAAAAAACGTTTTTTTCTAGATAATCTTTGTTTTTGTTATTGATGTAATTGTAATTGATGCTTTTTTTATTGTAAGTTGTTTTTAAACGTATAACTTTGGATTGTGACTGAGAAGGACGATAACACGGTTATTCCTCTTCCTGCTCTCTTTCATTCAGCAGTTTAGAAGATTCATTCAACATGTTTGTTCTGTTTGAGCACAGTGACGTAAATTATAAATGAATAAAATAAAATTAAATAGCTTCGGAATCAAAAGGTGTTTTAGAATGGAACAAAACAGATTAGTCTTAAATAATGGACATGTTAGATGATAACAGTTTGAAGGAAAAGCCCGATCAGCAAGGAATGATCAATGGATCATTATCTAAAACTCATGCTACTGTGGAGTAATCTCCACAGTAGCAATCTCTGATTGGTCAATGTGGCGCATCGAGCAGCTGGAGCTTTTCCAACTCCAGCTACTGCTGCTTCTGAAGCACATCGCCTCGGTCAGATGCCCAGTTGCTCAAATGCGCTGTAGGACCTTTTGCTCCACCAAGATGAGCGTCAACCATTGAATTTCAATGTAAATTAGCTGCTTCTGCTGCCTCTGCTTCTTTAGGATTGAATGTAGCATAATACATTTGCGGTGATTTAATGCATTTAGCGTT